AGATGATGTGTTCAAGCAATTTATGTATTCTTTGATTGGGTTCTTTGCTTGAATAAGATAAATCTCAAATGGTTCCTCATAAGTGTTTTTCTACAAAATATCATCAACCATACCAATAACAAAACAATCATTAAAATCAGATTTGGTTAAAAGGGACTTCCCATTAAACACTTCAAATGACACTTGAGCTTTTTCCTCTTCTTTCTTAGGGACATCCTCTTGTTTAGTTTCTGCAGGCATAATTTCTACTTCTCCAAGTTGTCCTCCAATCTCCAAGGGTAAGGTGTTTACCTTTTCTTCTTGATTTTTCATTGTTGCACTAGGTAACTCACCTTGTATCTCTTCAGCAACTACGTTGAGCAAATGACTTGATTGAGCTTCTAAGTTTTTATCCAAACATGACTCCTCTTCTTGAGCTTGAAACCTTGATTGTGGCTCCAATATATCTTCATTATTCCGTGACGTGTTTGGATCAAAATTACATGTATTGGGATAAGGATTATACAATTGGCTATGAAAATCACAAGAAAAATCAACACACTTGTTAGATAGTTTAAAATAGCAATCAGAACTAAAATGGTCACATCCACACCATTGACAAGTGATATTTAATCATTTTACTATAGCCTTCTTTAATTCCCACTTTTGAATGAGTGCTTGATATCGTTCAAGTTCATCATCGTCAATTCCTGCATCCCAATTGATGGTTATTGCTTCAACTTGTGCCCTTAATTCTGGAGCAAGACATTGATAATTCATATCAGTGTCTATGACAATTCGATTCATAGTTAAACCTACAAAAACAAAAACAAAGAAAATAGAAAAAAAAATCAAGGTAAAGAAATAAAAGAAAAAAACAGTTCAAATTAAATCTAGAATTAATCAACTTCGATATTAATTAAATTCAACAATCCCAGGCAACAGCGCCAAAAACTTGATGCGCTAAAATCACCCTAACAAATGTACTAATCGCTCCAAATAATATAATGATAAGTAGAGTATCGAACCTATGAGGATTGTAATTAACTAATTACCAAAATAATTAATCCAAATTTATTTGAACAATCAAAAAGGAAGAAACTTTAATTAAAATTAATAAAAAGAAAATAACAATTAAAATAAAACTAATCAAGATATGAGATACGAAGGCATCAACTTCACCATAATCAATTAATATGGATTTTGAATTATTATATTTTCAAGATATTACTATTCATGTGACAGCGAGATTTTCTGTCCTATTCGATATATTTTCTCAAGTAATACAAAACCTATCTTAATCTATTAACCCACTATATCTCGATATGAATTTAAATAGACAAAGATGCATTATGTTCTATGAATTTCCCTGGTTTACGTAAAAAAATAAGTCCACTTATCACTAATGTTGCACGAATCACATGGTTCATCTTTGACTTTCGTTCAATTCATGGAATATATTATTAGAAGCTATTACATAAAATCTCCTCTCAGTCTCAATTATGCTCTCCAAATCAATTTTAATGGTGATCAAGTATTAAAAAGCATTAAGAACAATAATATATACTCATCATGGAATAACAATCTCAAAAGTGTAGAAATCATAAAAATCCATATTGAATTGATTAAGCTACATCTTAGCCCTAGTTGACTAAATCAATTCATAATAAAAATAATAAAACCTGAAATCATAGTTATGAACATTCAAATATCAAACAATAGATAAAAATCCAGGGAAAAACAAAACCCAATTTGAGGAAATCAAACTCCTTGATTTTTTATTGTTGATTGAACCTCTATCTTAATCTCCAATAATGCCCAAAAGAGAGTTGCTACCAGCCTTCACCAAGCTCTCATAATTCTGAATTTGAATGGATATTTATAGGATTTTAAAAACCCTAGTTGAAATAGAAGTAGGACTTGAAACAAAATAGAAAACATGAATTTTGAATGCTGACAATATGGTGCTGATACCGTGAATTACGTGTCAACATAAAACAAAAAGTTTGATTCTGGATGCTTAATGCATTGTGTCGACACCCCGATTATGTGGCAACACTACACCAATGTCGAGTTTCTAGTCTCTTTTGCAATTTCTTCAATGGTAAATAACAGTCCTGGTCCCTAACTTTTGAATTCTACACAAGTTGATCCTCAAGTTTCTAATCTCTGTAATTTACTCATAAAAATTATGATTTCTTCTAATTAAGTCCTTTCCTACACAAAAAATTAAAAATCATGTAAAATAAAAATAAAATCTCATAAAACTCATCTAAATATCAATAATATCAAGGCAACAATTTCACATTAATATGTATACAAATTCAACTCATCATACCTCATGGTGGAGTTGGAGTTGTGAGCCATGTCCTTGAGGTATGGAGTTAGTTAAGAACTTGAATTTTTTTTTTTTTTTTTTACTTCCATTTCTTATGCAAGCTACAAATCTCGTAAACACGTTGTTAAATAAGTGTTTTGACAACCTCAAGGAATGAAACAAGCTAACGAAAGAAAACAAAGAGCTTGATAGAAAGAAGGATGAAGCTAAGAAAGACAAGGTGAACTTAACCTCAAAGTTGGAGAAGCTACAAGAGGAGAACGCCATGTTAAAGAAAGCTGCCAAGCTTGAAGTGAAAAAAAAAAAATTTCGTGAAAATAAATTGTCCAAAAGAGACAAAGAAATTATTGAAATGAGGAAAGCTATTGCCAAGTTTGAAAAGAATGTGGAGCTGCGCATCCACAACTCAATGGAAGGTCATATCTCAGACTTTATCAAATCCAACACCTCCAATGACATTGTGGATTTGCATTGATTGCCTATAACAATTCTAACGTTCATTGACTGCCAGAAGAAGGTGAAGACTCAACGTCCAAAGTTGGATGTGACGAGTATCACATTCACAACTCAAGAAGTAGGGGTTGTGGAAGATGGAAAGAGTAAGATACAGACTTCTAGCATGAGATAACAATGAGACTGGCTGGACTATCTTCGCACCCAAGTTCAATTTTGAGTTCATCGCTATGGTCAAAGAAGAGACAAACATCGCTAAAGGTGTTAACGCTGAGGCTAATGCTCAAAATCAAAAAGTGGACCAATAGCATTAAGTGATTGACTAGTCTCACCTAGGCAATTTTAGATTTAACCTTGTATTCAAACACTTATTTGATCTAAACAATATTTATTTCTTTGAATGAAATTTCATGTTTTGAATTCATTATTTTTATGTTTAATTCAACTTGTTACTTGGGAGATAAGGTCTTAGTAAACAGAGATGAGACAAATACTGAAATGGAATTAGGACTCACCTCGAATGAATGAGATTAAACCTCATCTTAAAATCAAGGAATAAGTATAGTCTTGGAAAATGAACAACAGAATAGTAAATCCAACTCAGATATATGAATAAACAAATGTCAAGCGAAATTGAATATTAAGATTGAAATAACTTTAGAGTCTTTAGAGTTCAAAGGTAGAACTTCTTTAAATTGTTAACATTGCAGACTCTAGAAACTCTTCTACCTTCCACATCTTGCAGAATATAAGCACTAGGATGAAATATTTCAACTACAATACAAGGGCCGTCCTAATTTGGGGCCAATTTGCCAAAACAAGTCTCAAACGTTGTGAGCCCAACTTTCCTTAGGACGAGATCACCAACTCTAAAAGTTCAAGGTCAAACTTGTTTATTGTAAAAGTTTGCTAGTTTCTGCTTGTATGATAAAGTTTGAAGTCGAGCTTCCTTTTCGACTTCATCAAGCAAATCAAGGTGTTTTCAAAGCAACTGTCTATTTTGTTCCTCATCGAAATGGCTAACCCTTAAGCTCAGGATTCCTATCTCAATAGGATTAACTGCTTCAGTTCTAAAGGCCAAGTAATGGGTGTTTCACCTATTTCAATGAATTTTTGTTTTAGCATTTGCTTTACATATTATAAGTATTTTAGCTATGGTTAAAGTATAAGACATAACAAAGTGAATATAAGAAAATTAACTTAGATATAAGAAAATTAACTTAGATTAGGTCAAGAGGTAGTACTTATGGCTGTTCGACTCATGGTTCTCTATGTCCATAACACATTGTTGAGCTCGTTTGCCCACCTAGCCTTATGCTGCTCCAACCTCAACTTTATTCCTTCCAGAATTGCCTTATTAATTGAGTCTACCATTCCATTAGATTATGGGTGATAAACTAAGGTGAACTACAGTTTAATACACAATTGGAACAGAAATCTTTAAAGGAAGTGCAATTAAATTGTGTTCTATTATCAGCGACAATCTAATTAGTGAGCCCTGTATTTGCAGATGATGGAACTAAAAAGAAAGTCCTCAATCTTTTCGGAGGTAAGGCTAGATAATGGCCAAGTTTCAACCAATTTTGTGAAATAGTCTACACCAACTACCAAATGTGTTACTCCTCTAACTCTATTCACAAATGAGCCTAGAAGATCAAGTCTTCACTAAGCAAATGGCAATGGCACCACCAAGTTCGTGAGTTCCTTTGTTGGTTGGTAAGTCAAATGTGTAAAGAATTGACACTTCGAGCACTATTGTACAAACTCTTTTGCATCCTTCATATATTTGACTAATAGTACTTTGCCTGAGGAATTTATAAGCCAATGTCCTCGCACCAACATCGCTTTCACAAAACCCTCATGCATCTCTCAAAGGGTATATTTGATCTTACAAGAGGACAAGTAATTTAGCAAAGGTAGTGAGAAGGATCTCTTATAAAGAACTCCAACAATGAGAGTGTATTGAGATACCTTTCTTCTCAACCTCACCTCTTCTTTTTTGTCATCAAGAATTGAGCCATCTTGCAGGCAAGACTTGATTGGGTCTGTCCAGCTCGAAGTATTTGGATCTACGTTAATTTCCATCACCTTTGGTTTCTGTAAGCTTGATTCAATGAGGACCTTAACATAAAGTGATCTCATTGCTGTGAAACTATATGAGGCAAATTTAGAAAGCGAATCTGCTTGTTCATTTTTCAAGTTTGGATATTTTGCTGAGGCAAAAGTTTTCAAATCATCATTTCAGCGTAGATACCATAGTTGTATACTTCATCAAGGTGGGCTTTGCGACCTTGTAAACTAAGTTTACCTTATTAACCACAAGCTAAGATTCACTGTAGATCTAAATGGCCTTAACATTTAGCTCAACCCCAATTGAAGTCTAAGAAGTAAAGTTTCATATTTAACCATATTATTGATGGCCCTAAAGTTAAACTTCAAAACATGTTCACTTTGGAACCCATTTGGGCCAACCAACATAGCTCCAACTCCAACTCCTGATCCTTTATGATTTAATGCCTCATCAACATATAAAATCCATGTATCTAGCTTAGAAGCAGAATTTGACTAATTTAAGGAGTACTCAACAACAAAAGTTTCCTATCGCTTGAGGTCGAATCGTTGATCTATACCAGAATGTTATTTCAAATTCTCCCAATTCAATTACCCATTTAATTAATCTACCTGTACACTCAGGCTTTTGTAGGATCTATCTGAAGGGTTCAATTGTGAGGACGACTATTAGATAAGACTAGAAATACTCTCAATTTTCTAGCTGAGGTAACAACTACAAGAGCTACCTTCTCAATGATTGAGTACCTTTGCTCAGCGTCATGTAACACTCTACTAGGTGTAGTACACTGGTTTTTACTGTTTTCCTTCTTCCCTCACTAGCACTAAACTTATCACCTCATCTAAAATTCCAAGATATAAATAGAATATTTCTCCATCAATAGCTTTGGTCAATAGAGGCGGAGAGCTAAGATAAGATTTATGCTTATCAAATGTGCTTTGGCATTATAGCATTCATTCAAATTTCTTCGATTTGCCAAACTCATTCTTTTGGGTTGTTGACCTCATAATTTTGAAAAGGAAGACATTTATCAACCGACTTGGAGACAAACTTGTGAAGAGTTGCCACTCGTCCAATCAAACGTTGAACATCTTTAATGGACTTCAAAGGTCCCATGTCTTCTATAGCTTTGATTTTCTTAGGGTTGACCTCTATCCCCCTCTTGGATATCATGAAATCCAATAATTTGTCTAACTCCACATCAAGGATGCACTTCATAAGATTTAATGTCATTTTATTCTTCCTTAGATTATTGAATATTTCCTTGAGATCAACTAGATGATCTTTAGACTTCAAGCTTTTTACCACAATATGATCAACATAAACCTCCAAGTTCTTGCCAATTTGAGCTCAAAACACAATGGTCACCATCTTCTAGTACATTGCACCTATGTCTTTCAAACCAAAAGGCATTACTACATAGCAATAAATTTCATCTCTAATATAAAAGAAAGTCTTTTCTTCATCATTGGGAGCAATTGGGACTTGATGATAGCCCAAATATGCATCTAAGAGACTTAATCTTTCATTTCCAAAAGCTACTTCAACTAATGTATCTATATTAGGCATTGGGTGCAGTCTTTAACACAAGCTTGGTTGAGGTCAATGTAATTAATGCACATCCTTCACTTATCATTGGCCTTCTTAACCAAAACAAGATTAGGAACTCATTCACAATAATCAACTATGCATATAAATCCAGCTTGTAGGAGCTTCTCAACTTTCTCTTTGATTACTTGAAGTCTCTCACCCCCAAAGAGGATGCCTTTTCTAAGCAACTGGCTTCTTTAAAGGGTTGGTGCTCAACCTATGAATAGCCACCGAAGTTGAAATCCCTGACATATCTGCGAACGTTCAAGCAAAATGTATGTTAGCTCGAAGGAAAGCAATCAACTCCTCCCTGTCTTTTAGGCTCAACTTAGTCCCAATCTATGTTTTCCTGGTCGGATCTCTATCATCAATTTGTACTTTTTCCACATCTTTAACTAGGGCAACTCCATCCACACCTTCAGGTTAGTTGTCAACTAATTTTACTCCCATTACTTGGTCGTTTAGGGCTTGGGGTAGAGCTGGCTCTAGTATCTAGCTTGCTTCTTTATCTTTTCGAGGTTGCATGACTAATGTCATATATTAAAGCCTCACTACCTCTTAATGGCCCCTTAATGTTGCTACGCCCATGGGCATGGGAAATTTCATGCATAAATGGGATTGTGACATTACAGCTCAAATTTCTATTAGCGTAGGTCGATCAATGACAACATTAAAAGATCACGTCATTTTAACAATTAAGAACTAGATTGAAAAAGTGATATAAGTTTGACGTCTATCAAATGCTACATTAAGAGTAAGTACTAAGTACTCCTTCAACTAAGACTGACTAATTGTTGAATCCATATATAGGGCCATTGTACTTCTAAAGCAAAGCTAGGTCAAGCCCTAGACTCTCAAAACAATGGTAATACATTATGTTGGGTGCACTACCAATGTCAATAAGGACACGCTGTACCTCACAATTCTTAACTATGATGAAGGTGACCAATGGGTCATTGTAAGGTATTACAACCCCATCAAGGTCGATAAAGGTGAAAGTTATAAGCTAATTCTTCCATTCTACATCATCAAACTCCTTTTCTGAGCTCGATCTAGCGTTTAACTTCCTTGACATAAAATTGCCACTATTTGGAGCTTAATCCTTCTACTTCAAGCCCATCAGTTATCATGTGGACCATTCTAGTCAAAGGTGGAAGAAGTGGAGAAGTCTACTGGTACCTTACTCTCTTTTTATTGTTCGTGTTTCGAGGTACTTAGAACTACTATCCTTACTCTCTGTCAAACTTTGGTTGGTCTTTTGGATGTATTCATTCAACATCCCTTTTTGAGCTGACCCTTCTAGCTCGAATTTCAAATTATTGCATTCCTCCATTGCATGGCTATGGTCTTGATAGAAGTCACAGTACTTCGTGTAGTCCCACGTGGCAACTACACTCCTCATTGGAGTTGGCCTTTTCAATTACATTTTGTTTTTAATCTGTATAAAGATCTATGACCTCAGTTGAGTGAAGGAGATCCATGTAGTTGGCTTTGCAGATGGTACCTAGGAAACTATTGACTCTGTCTTCCCAAACTTAGGTATAGTAATTGGACCTCGATTTTGAACTTCCCTTATCCTTTTCCTACTTTGCTCTTCCACTCTTTAATTTGGATTATTGTTGCCCTTAATAGGTGTTGGCCTTCAAGACAGAGTATACTCCTCAGTTGTGATAAACTTCCAAGATTGGTCATTGACTTCGTCAAAAGTAGCAAGCGAATGTTTGATTAGGTTGTCTCAAAACCGTTCATGATTGAGCCCCTAGATTATAATAGCAATCCTAACTGCTTGGTTGAAAGAACTTGTCATGCCCTAGAACCCAAATCCAAGGGCAAAACAAACGCTGTACACTTGTGAAAGGATCCCACAAATGCACAAGGCTCAGAACTTATTAAATTCAGAACTACAATCCATGGAACAATTTTGAAAAAATTTTAAATGTAAAATTTATTTTACAAACCTAATTACAAATAAGCTAAGTCCAAATATATATGTGGCTAGTCTAACTCCAAGATAATCTAAGCCTGAAACACAAATGGCTAGCCTTCTAACTCGTCACTCCCCGCAATTTTCCCACGTCTTTGGTTTTAGTACCTAAAATGGTGGACGAGGAAGAACTGTGAGATAACTCAATAAGTAAAATATGGATTGCCCTTAATTAAAGTTATAGCATGCCTGATAAACAATTTAACATAATAAAACGTTCAATGATAAACTGTTAATGCAGAATAAGATTCAACAGCAGTATCCTCTATAAGTCATGGCCAGTGTTTAACAAACTCCCACTGGCAGGCGTTAGTAATAACCAATATATTATCCCATTGGCAGGATTACAAAATGAACCAGTCCTATCGATATACATGTCAACATGTGCTAGCGTTTGCAAACTCCCACTAGCGAACGTCAGTAATCATGACTATGTTATAGATATAACCATGCAAGATTTACAGGAAAATCCGTAATTCACAATCAATCTCAAATTTCAAGAATAAACCAAAAAAATTCCATGTGGGCATGCTCAACCCTAAAAATAACAAAAATTTTCATTTTCATTTCCATTCTAATCATGCTCAAGTGTTAATAAAATCAATTTAAACCTTGTTACCATCTCAAAAACAATTTAAAATATGCTTTTACTTTGCAATCGAAGGGCGTTACCATAATTTACTTACCTCTTCTTGTAGGCTTACAACAGCAAGTATTCAAGGTTTCAAGGAGATGGTGGTGACTTAGAACCTATTTCATAATCAAGAACAATAGGGTCACAACATGCCTCATTCAACTAAAATTGATCTTTAATTCTAGCACCAAGTTTTACCCCAAAGGAACAATTTCTCCCTATCTCCTCTTGCCATTCTACCCACCAAAACCTTACTAGTATACATATATAACTCACACGCATAGTCATATATAAATTTCCATGATGATGGCTGACCTACCAAACATTTTCGGCAAAGAGCAGCAAAACTTGGCAAATGGCAAAAAATTCTGGGAAAAACAATGCCAAAAATAGCAAGGAAAAATGCAACAAAATGCAAAATTTTTCTGGGGAACATACAGAATTTTTTGGTTTAAAAACAATGCAGAAAACAACTGGGGAAATGTAGCAAAAATGCAGAAGCAAAAGCAGTCAAGATTGCAGAAAAATGCAGCACCAAAACAGGTTACAAAAAATGCAGCAAAACATATTGCAGAAAAATATAGAAAAACAGTTGCAGAAAATACAGCAGCAAAACAGGTTACAGAAAATGTAACAGCAAAAACAGCATAATTTTTCTACGTGAACAATACAATTTTATGGTAAAAATAACAAGATTTTCTTGTAAAACAACAGCAAAACAGCAGCAAAGACAGCATAATTTTCTGTATGAACAGTAAAATTTCATGGCAAAACAGCTGGGGAATCTAAGTAAAGCAGCAACTAAACACTAGACAAACAGTGTCACAATCTTTCAAAAGATAAGAAACAAAATACCCATAAATCCTATGCATTTCCCCCAAATCTAAATGGTCAATATTCAACTAAATCTACCAAAATTAGAGAAAGAATGAGATTGGTTTCATGCTCAATTTTACCAGAAAATTTTGAGTGAGAGAGACGATTCCTCCTAAAATGGAAGCCCGAAAGGCAGAAATAGCTAGAACTTGAGGGGGGCTACCATCTGCTTGCCAAAAAGGGAAACCAAAGGCTGTTGAAGGCAACATGCGACTGCGGTGGAGTGGGGAACAATGAGCTGCTACTTAGGGGATTTATGAGATGTGGGTGAGAGAATTTGGAGCAAGATTGGTGACCATAGTTGGTGAAGGATGGAGGATGGTGGTGACGAATTGAGGATGGTGGGGGATGAGTTAGGGTTTCAAAACAAGAAGAAAAATGGGGGAATCGAGGAGCTTATACTGCT